GCTGTATCAAATAAGGATCGCGTTTGATGCAATTCCAGCTCAATCTCGGAATTCTTTGTCTGCAGGGTCTCAATCAATAACCGATTTTGGCTTGCTTCCTCCTCGAGGGACTTCCTAATTTCCTCTAATCCTTGACGTTGAGAATCAGACTCAATGCTGTTCATTTCCAGACGGGTGATCTCTTTAGCTTTCTCGACGATTGTTGCACTCATTTCTTCCAATGCTATAATCGAGTCTGTGAGCTTCGTTTGAGTTTCTTGTAATTCTTCTTCCGTGGCACATCTGGAACGACTTGATGACGCAATTTCGGCCTTGCTTTCCTCGATCTTCTTCCTTAGTATATCGAGCTCCACGACCTTCGCTCCGATAGCAGCTTTCAATTTTGATTCTGACGACTGGGACCCTTCAAGTTTCGAGGAAACCTCATGAAGGTTTTCCTCCAATTTGTCTTTGCGAGATTCCAGATCACTGAGCTTTCTATTTTGATATTCCACCGTGTCTTGAAGGGATAACGTTGAATGCCGCATGAAAGCTTCGCGGGTTCTGGCGCCACTTATTTCTCTTTCCAACTCTTCATATCGTGAACGACAGGCACGAAGAATTGCCTGGGAGTCTTGCTCCGCTTTTAGGAGGTTGTATTGAGGTGGGAGAGGCTTGGAGGCTGTGGAAGATTCCCCCTCCACCAATACATCGGTCTGCAATGAACGTTTCTGTCCACAGAGAGGGGATGCGGGCGGGGATAGTGGAGCGAAGGGAAGCGCTGGGCAACTGCGAATCTGGTGCAGCACGTTACCTAGTATAGTATAAGCACCGCTAAATAAGTCATGTTGAATTGCCTAATCGAATTTCAAATACCCTAATTAGGGAAGGGAGAACTCACTCGAAGAGGTTTCCTGGTCGGGGTTACGCACAAGATCAACAAGCTCATTCATGACATGCTCATGAAGAGCTATAGAATTGTCAAGTTGTTCCGCCGCTGCTGCATACTCCCTACTTTTGAGATATTCGGACATGCGCAACTGGCCAATGGTTTGCACATCTCTTTCGATATGAGTATCTTTTACAGATGCTCGAACCGCAAGCCGGAGAGCTAATTTACGCAGAGAGGTAATTGATTCCTTCTGCAATGCATTGGTTGTACTTTGCGTACGAAGCTCGGATCGAAGGGAATTTCGCTGGGATTGTACAAGACCGAGATGAGCTAATGGACCCAATGTCGAGAGCGGAGAATGCGCCGGGAATGGCGAGGCATCTAGAAGAACATGTTCTTTTGAAGGTAAAAGTTGGGAGGACTCGGGAGAAGAAGCGGCAGAAGAATCCACGGGAGTATTTCGTGTTATACTGAACGTTCGATATCTTGGAAGACTATGATCTGCTAGAGGGCTTTCACTTTGGAACCGACGTCTTTCAGCCGGGGACGGGGTTGAAGGTGTCGTCGGCCGACTAGAACCATGCAATAAAGAATCCATAGCAGAGGGTACAGTGTTTTCATCTACCGTAGATATTACGACAGGTATTTCAGATGACTAACAATTAAATTCCTCTGGAATTATTAACGGTTGTGGCATCATGAAAGTCACGAAGAGCAGGAACAAATTTGATAAAGGCGTAAGGTGAGATTTTGAGTGGAATTTCAAACATTTACGAGTATGAGTTTGTTGTCACTCCACTTATCCTGCCACTTGGCCCGTGCCGCGTGACAATCAGTTCATACCCACATCCGGGATACCCCGATAACACTACCAGTCTCCACCGCTAAAGAAACTCGTGACATTCTTGACGGTATATAAGATGGTATGAATTGTGATTAGAAGCAAATGTAGACAAGAAAAGTTGTTAGAAATTCTGGTATAGTTGAAAGAAATTTCAAGCGAGTATATCTTAAACACGTGATATCAATATGATTAAATAAATTATGAGACCACATATTAAACAGTGCGGTATAATTTCTATAATAGAAAATAGGTTAGTTATTACTTTGGACGTTAAGTACTAATCAAGAACGAAATACCCTTAGCTAGTCACGGGACTGTATAAGCATTGTTTCCATCAAAGATGCTATTAGAGAACTTATTCTGACTTCCGAATACCTCATCCCTTTACTTCTAAAAAGACCCATTGTGCAAATAACTTGCTTCAAAACATTTCGCTTTCATAAGAGCCTAAATTTTTGGTTATGAAGTTCAATGCCCCTCCTGACCAGTTAATAATGCACGTACTATACATCGCGACAAGCGATCTCATTTGCTTCTCCCCTTTAAAGGTTTGACTACTTTGTAAGCAGCTCTATGATTTGGCGTACTAGATTCTTACCTTATGTTTAGATAATATTATACCAATTTTGAAGAGATGGACAACGAAGATGTTACATTCTTAAAATACTAAAAGTCTCCCACAACTTGTCTTATAGCAGAGGTAAAGTATTCTAATGGCTGCCGTTCTAATGCCCCTGCATGCTTACTTGCATGTTAACGTTCTTAATATAGAAACTCACCTGCCCGCAATCAGTCCCCCGCATAATCTCCTCGCTCACGTGGTCTATTACACCTCCGTAATATAAGGTACGAAGGAACTAACAGCTTCTAAAATGCGGGATGAAATGTGCTCCCGTGTTGCGTTTTCCACTTTAGGGTACCCTGCCGGCCCCCTATCTAGGTGTATATCCAATGAGTCTCTCCGCTTTCCCTTCACATAGATGGCATTTATGCAGGTCATCAGCCGAATGTTACTCTGACCCCGTTGGCCGTAAGCTTTGGCCAATTATACGTGTATCTGAAGAAGATGCGTGGCCGGTTTTAGCAGTAAAGCCATGCGGTGAGGCAAGGGAATGGCAAGGTAAAGCACAAACATATCCCGTTGTGACACTCGACCTGCAGAACAGTACAGTAAGTAGCGTTTTATCAAACCACCTTATCGATTAAAATAGATACAACATGTGGCACATAACATATCAGCACCCATCCCTCCATCCATCCCTCCCGGTGGAGTCTGTCACTCCTAACACCAACTTCGTCAGTCTTGTCAACACTGAGTCGCGCTCCTTCGGCGCTCAACTTGGTTATGGGCATTATTCCACGCCTCGACCGCGAATGGGGACTTGGCTTTGTAGCCCTCCCTCCATCTGGAGAGAACTCCAATTATAATGATACGCCCTCTTTGGCTCTTCTAAGCCTTATCCTGTTCCCGATCTTAAGCGTTATCAGTCTCACCTTTGTGGCGCTTCGCACTGGGTACAATTTTGCCATGGAGAGGAAATTGAGGGCAGATGATTGTAAGTTAGAAGAGGATACGGGGTGAAACGTGTATCTAAATTTTGTCTCTTAGGGTTCATCTTGATTGCGGTCACTTGTGCCACAACTCAAACAGTGTTAGACCTTACCGGTGAATACCTCACCCAAGGTTGTCCTGATGTTTATGCACTTTTCTGACGCCTGGAAATACAGAAAGAAAGTTTGCGCGCCATTCTTGGGATATAGGACTGTCTTGGCTTGATGAGTCGTTCATCAAGGTACTGTACTGCTGACTCCCCTTTCAACCATTCATCAGTGCTTTCAAAAAACCCTTGGACATATTGCTCCTGGAAATAAAAATTCCAGCCCAGCCATACTTGCGTCTCAATAGTCATGTTCTGCTAACGCACACTGTAGAAGCTCGTCTTCGCACAGAGTATGCTTGCCTGGCCCTCACTCCTCTTTGCCAAACTCTCCATCCTCACCCTCTACTTCCGGCTCTTCGAGGTCCGCCAATCCATGCGGTACGCCATCTACGCCGGTATGCTCTGGACCGTCTTGACCTACCTCCCGTTCCTGGTCATCACGCCCTACATGTGCGCTCCGCATATGGGGCAAAAATGGGGCGGGGAAGTTTTGTTGCGGTGCAATAAGGCGATATATTGGGAGATTGTGAGCGCGGCAATGGCGGTGCTGTTGGATGCGTATATCTTTATTTTGCCACTGCCGGTCTTGAGGACCCTACCCTTGTCTAGGAACAAGATGTGTGGGCTTGTCGCTGTGTTTACAACAGCGAGTTTGTAGGTGGAGAACAAGAAGGCCCGAGGCCGACTTTTGCTAATGCGTGGATAGTGCGCTGGTCTGCGCTGTTTTGACATTGGTGTATCGGGTGAAATACAATGAGGGTGGCGATGTGTTTTACAATGCCTGGATATTGATCATTACCGCGTAAGTTCCCAGTTTCCATCCCAAATATCAATTGAATTTACTGACCTTGCACATAGTGTCATCGAGAACAATGTCGCAATTACAGTCGCCAGTGTACCCGGTGTCACGGCATTCGTCAAGAGGTATATTTTGAGAAGTCAAGTCCGAAGACTGTCTTCCTCGTCGGAACGATACACGAGTTCCAAAAGTGCGAAGCGCAGAAGTCGTGGGCACTATGCCCTCAACAGCATTGGGGGAACGCCTTTGGGTTCTATAAAATCAGAATCGGGAAACCTGAACTCCACCACTCACTTGTCAGGGTGGCGAGAAGCAAAAGACGGGAAAGTGTATACGGAGGTGACGAACATGCCAGGGCTTCCGCAGAGGGCATCGGTGAGACAGCCTGGAATCACAAAGTTTGTGGAGATTGACCAAAGGTCGAGCCGCGGGAGCATGGAAGGAGTGTGAGACTTTGACGGATAGGGGGGCAGCCTTGTTAGATAAATGTAAGCGAGACATTGACTAAAAGATCCTAAGACATCTTCGCGGCCCTTCTTGCCTTGTGAAGCCATGAAACCCTGCAGGAACCACGAAGTTGAAGTCTGCTGTACCCTGCCGCCTGCGTAGCAAAACCAACGGAATTATAGGTATGCTAGTGGCGCTGCAAAGCACTAGGCTGCGAACTAGACGTGTATTAAATTACTTCATACAGGGAAAAGTACAGAGTAGGTAGGAGAAACATCACAAGGAACAAAGGGGAGGATGGTCGAGTAAATCTACATACTGTACATGGTAAAACTAAACTTCGAATACAGAAGTTGTATGCTGTTTTTGCTTGTTTTATCAGGCTGGCATCTTTATCCCCTCCTGCTTCTCGGGCTCGTATATTCTTGGAATTAAACCTTCGGCCATTTCTATAGCCCCATCCATGTTGTCTTTATTAAACAAGAAGAGGCCTTGGATCGCAGCCGTGCTGGTATTTAGTTTCGACGTCTTCGATTTCCCCGCTGTATCCGCAACAAGCCCAATTTCTTCAAGTCTTTGCAGGAAGCGTTGCTTTCCTGCCCGATTTTGATCGATATCCCCATAGAACCGGTCCCACATTTCACCAGCTTGATGCCTCGTAGCTTCGCCAATTCTGACAGTCATATCAACTCTCCCCGGCCTTATCAGGGCTTCATCCAACCGGTCGATATGATTCGTCGTCAAGAAACCTATTCTCTCTTCCCCGGCTGCCACCCCGTCCAATGCATTCAGCAATCCAGAAAAGGTAACCGACATACCGCTGAAGCCCTCTCCATCCACTTGTCGGCGGTTACTGAAGGCCGCGTCCGCATCTTCGAGAAGAAGAATGGTCCTCGGGGGGAGTTTCGTAAGAAGATGTGCCAATTTATCGTCCGTCATGCCTCTCTCGCTCAGGTTGATGATCGCCACCCCGAAATCCAACTCCCCAGCCAGTGCCTGCACAAAGGAGCTTTTACCAGTACCAGGAGGCCCATAGAGCAAGTATCCCCTCCTGTATGGAATTCCTCGGTCCACATACCACTCCTGTCTCTGCAAAAAGTCTTTCACATCTGTGACTATTCGTTCCTTGATCCCTTGATCCAATATCACTGACTGCAATGGCCGTTTCTTTCGCGGGTCGCCGAATGGCGTCCATTCCGAGCCTCGAGCTGTCCACATGATTGTCTTGCCCTCTTGCGCAGACATCTCTAGTTCATGCGCCTCTTTGAATATGTCCTCAAAGATGCCCTGATGCGCATATAGAGTAGTGAGGGTGACCGTCTCAAATGGTTCGCCCGTATTCATGTTGGCAGAGGATTGTTTTTCTCGGTGGATAGAAATGTATGCATTCTTGTGCCGTACGATATGCCTGCCATATCCTGGCTGCGCCAAAAACTTCGTTTGACCTGGTCGATTTTGAGAGATTCGAGATGTGGTCTGCATAGACAAGTTGTGGATTCTAGTGAGCTTGGAGGCGATGAAACCCGTGGGGCGTTGGCGGAGAGTCAACCATGTCAAGATCCATGGGTATGAGGGGTCTTGTTTGCTGATCTCCAGGTTGACGAGGAGGCGCCGTTTGATGAGGCCGGCTGCTTGGATGGTCCATCGTCGTCCGAGAGTTGCTGCTGCTCCCAGGCCAGCGAGGCCAATGCCTCCAGCGAATACGGGGTTGTCGAAGAGGGCATCGAAGGAGAATGGGGATGTTGTCGGAGGTGGTGTAGATGTAGAGGCAGGTGTAGGAGCAGATGTATGAACAGATGTAGTTTGTGGTTGGATGGCTGACATTGTTCTTGCTTGCATCTTTTTCGAGGTCCAATACTTTTACCGTCGCGACTTCGCTAAATTGCCGGACGCGACAACTCGTTCTCTCTCTGTATGTTTCTCCCTTTACAACAGGACAACTCTATTCTTCCAACGCGACTTCAAGTGAAGCATTTTGGTGAAATCAATGGATCTATCTAAGATCAGTTAATTCTCGTATTAGCATCTAAAGCTTTATTTACATTTCCTGTTGCATTATGCTATCCTTTGCCATCCTGTTAGGAACTGTTCCTCTTTTAATTGGTGTTCCTATGCCTTCCTTTCCTTTGAAAGATAGCACGAGAAAACATTTATACTGTACTCCTCTCATTAGGGACATAATACGGTACCAGCATGCTTTTAATGTCGGCTTTACGAGTAGTTTGCCCAGACTTCTTCTGCGAGAGACGAGAACTGGGGCGAGGGAAGTCCCATAGGCCCTAAGTTTACTTATTACAAACCTAGCTTTTCTTAGTGAAGCACTCGTGTATAGCTCACGCCTCACCATCAGAGGGCAGGGTTCACCTACTGCCGGCAGAATTGAACGCGGCCTGCTGGTCCACCTTGAATCAGATGTCAGCCTCCATCCTGGTGGTTAACTTATCAGAAATAACCCCTAATGGGGCGGGCTCCCGTACGCACGCTGCTTTATTTTCACGTGGGCGCTGCTAACGTGATTGGAATGGTAGCCTTCCTCTTGCAGGTCTCGTATTTCGTATTTTACTCCCAAGCCGTTGACTCATACGGAGAGGGTACAAGCTCTCGAGCAAGCCAGCTGTCTCTTGACATCAAATTTATTCCACCCTTCTCGTATAATAGTTTCGCTCGTAGGGTCTAAATAGCATATCTACCTACTACGAAAAGAACCATCTCGTTCCCGAACCTCTTTCGATTTCCTCGTCCATATCTAATTTTAAAAAGATGAGCCCCGAAAAGAAAGTAGCACCATATGGGACTTGGACGAGTCCCATTACCTCCGATATAACGTCAGGAGGGGTACTCAGCTTCAATCAGCTTCACGTTAATGTGGGTGTCTAATCTTTCTAATTCTTCTGCGGAGAGGGGGTTCAAGGAAATATATTGTGACTAATAATCATCAAGCCAAAGACCGGCCAAATCTACCTCATCGAGGGCCGTCCTGAAGAAAAAGGACGATGTGCAATTGTTGAGGTGACAATCACCGGTGAGAGCATTGATATTCTACCTAAGAACTATAATGCCCGGTCCAAAGTTCATGAGTACGGAGGTGGAGCGGCAACATTAGGTCCAGACGGAAAGTTTGTGTTCACCGACGCATATACGGATGGGGTCTTTCTTCTCTCTCCGGCCAGAGAAGTTGAAGAGATCATCACAGGCGACCCAAATACGCGATTTGCAGATTTTAATGTCTCGCCTGCAGAGCCACATTGGATTATTGCAGTGCAAGAGTCCCATAGCCAAGATGGTGATATGCTGAATACCATCGTGGCGATTAACACACTGACAAGAGCCTCAAAAATTTTGGTTTCAGGAGCGGACTTCTACTCGCATCCTAGGTTCAGTCCTGATGGAAAACGAATTTGTTGGATGCAATGGATGAACCCTGATATGCCATGGACGGGGAGTCAAGTTTATGTGGCGCATTGGAGCAATGGAAAAGTGGATAATCAGAAATATGTTGCAGGAAAAGCGAAGAAGGAGTCAGTTTGCCAGCCGAGGTGGCACATCGATGGCACGTTATTGTTTGAAAATGAACCCACTGGGTTCTGGCAGCTGTATCTTTATGATATAAGTACGGAGAAAATTGAGTATATTCAACTCAAGGGGTACGAGAACGCGGATATTGGTGCGAGAGAGATTAAACTTGGGAAGTATGTGTCCATTCTCCTAGGTAGGATACATGCTAACGCCACTGCTTTAGCTCCACTTATATCCCATTAAGTAAAGACAAGTTGGTCATTGCTTATATCAGGAATGGTGCGAATGGAGTTCTCCTCTATGATGTTCCAACGAAAGAGATAGTTGAGCTTCCCCTCAGTTTCGTTGAGATCGCATTCTGTGGTCTGAGGCGGATGTCCGATACCCATTTTGCAGTAATTGGTGCAACAACAAAATCAGCTAGAGCGCTTTACCTGGTTGATATCACTAAACCCGGAGAGAAGCTGCTTTTGAAGCACTCTACACATATTGATCTTCCTGCTTCGATATTTTCAGAGCCTCAACAGATCAACTTCCCTCGCACACAGGGCACTGGTAGACTCTCGTCTTCTCATGCTGTATTTATCCCTCCCAACAACCCCAATTATGAGCCCTCACCAGGAACAAAACCGCCACTCATAGTATCTATTCATGGTGGACCTACCAGTCATGTCCCTCCGAGTCTGACTCTTGAATCACAGTACTTTACTTCCAGAGGATACGCGTACTGTTATGTCAACTATGCTGGTTCGACGGGTTATGGTCGTGCTTACCGCGATCAACTTGAATACAGCTGGGGTATCAAAGATGTGGAAGACACCGTTTCGTGCATTGAGTACCTCGGAGTACAAGGCCTTATTGACCGGAACAAAGTAGGGATCAGAGGGATTAGCGCTGGTGGGTACACCGTTTTGCAAGGGTTGATAAGCTACCCCGATGTCTTTACAGCAGGATGCAGTTTGTATGGGGTGGCGGATTTGAAGCTTCTCGCCAAGGATACACACAAGTTCGAAGGGCATTACCTGTTTGCTCTTCTGTTTCCTGAGGATACCACTGAAGACAACAAGGAGAAGATCTATTATGATAGGAGTCCAATTTTCCATGCTGATAAGATCACCAAACCATTAACCCTGCTGCAAGGTACTGCCGACAAGGTTGTTCCTATGAGCCAGGCATTGGAGATGGAGAAGGCTATGAAGAAGAACGGCGTTGATGTCAAGTTGATTGTTTTTGAGGGAGAAGGACATGGCTGGAAAATGAAGGAGAATATGAAACGATCGATTGAAGAAGAGGAGAACATGTGGAAGAAGAATCTGCTTTAACTCCAGACATAATAGCAGAATTCGATTGTCAGTCTAGAATTAGAAGAGTCTTGGTGTGATTTCCAAACACTAATTGGTAGGCGACATAATTATGCGAACAAAGCGCAATACAATCTTCCAAGATACTCACATACTAAGATTGCAATTAATAAGTCAAGTAAATCGTAGAAATAGATTAAGTATTCCGACTTGAAGTAATTGACAAATTCACATTGCAAGATTACAGTAGTTGAATGTTGGAGAGAATTCCGTCCCCGGATTATTATAATTTAGTGGTGGAGTGGGGCCCTAAAGCAGTCGACTGCATGCATCTCCTGATTTTGTGTCTGGCCTTGGTTTTCCTCTTTCCTCCCTCTTCTCTTCTCTCTCTACACTAAGGTGATCCAAATCCACCACCACACACTCCTCCACCCCCCCCTCGACAAATGCATATCGAAACAAACAACGATACTCCCTCCTTTTCCGTCCAAAGCCAGATGCGCACCGCGAAGAAACTACAGAAACTGCACCGAAACTATCGATCTCAGATCCGGGCTGATGCTGAGCGACGTCGTGTCGCGCCGTAAGGAAAGAATACGAGTTGCAGCAGTACTATCAGAGCCAGTGTCAGTGTTGTATCCGCCAGAATGACGACCCTCAAGAACCCAACGCCTGCCAGGAATATTGCACGCGGGTTTCACACGCCAGTGACTTCGGGGGATGAAGATTCGGACCATGGACCACACACTCCTTCTCAGAAGCACCGCAAGAACCTAATGATTAACGACGTCGTCAGTGCAAATAGCAGCCCTATGCTACGGTGCAGCTCCGCGCAGGGAGTGGGAGTTGGGGGCATCAGCAGGCTGAAGCTACAGCTGGACACGCTCAACCTGGAGCACGATTCGCGGACAAGTTCGTTGGCGCGCAGCAAATACCAGTCACAGCCGCAGAGCAGCACAGGCACCACTTCCGAAGGCGGCCTCAGCGACGACGAGGCCTCTGATATCACGACTTATGAGGTTGGGTTCGAGAACGACTTCGTCAGCGAGAGCGTGCGTGAGAAGGCCATATTTGGAGCTGTCGAGGGAGGTTTGGTGCAGGATACCCTCGCCCGGAAGATGCAAGCTGAGGATTTCGAGCCCTTGCGATGTCTAGGCAAGGGGACGTTTGGCACAGTCTTGTTGGTTAAGCAGCAGGCGACAGGACGACTCTACGCGCAGAAGCAGTTCAAGAAGGCCTCTTTGACCGTGCACAAACGACTTGTCGAGCAAACCAAGACTGAACGATCCATCCTCGAGAGCGTGAACCGCCATCCATTCGTCGTCAAACTCTTCTACGCGTTCCAAGACCACGAGAAGCTATACTTAATCCTGGAGTACGCGCAAGGAGGGGAACTCTTCACGCATTTGGCATCAGAGAAAATGTTCACCGAGGAAGTCGCGTCTTTCTACATGGCCGAAATGGTTCTCGCTCTTGAGCACCTGCATCGCGATCTCGGTGTCATATACCGCGACCTCAAGCCCGAGAACTGTCTCCTGGACGACCAAGGACATTTGCTGCTTACTGATTTCGGATTATCAAAGGTAGCCGTGGACGAGAACGATGCGTGCACCAGCATGCTGGGAACAGTGGAGTACATGGCACCAGAGGTGATCCTTGGCCAGAAATACGGCATGGCTGTTGACTGGTGGTCTTTCGGCGCCATGGGTTTCGACCTCTTGACCGGAGCACCACCATTCCCGGGGGGGAACCATGCGAAGATTCAGGACAACATTGTGAAGATGAAGCTCAAGCTACCATATTACATGAGCGCTGATGCGAAGGATCTTCTTACCCGCCTCTTGCGCAAAGAGCCAAACAAGAGACTCGGTAACAATATGCCAAAAGATATGCAGTTGATCAAAAAGCACCGCTTCTTCCGACGCATCGACTGGAAAAAACTTGCCAAGAGGGAGCTAGAACCACCTATTCAACCCCTCATTACAGATCCAGAGCTCGCGGAGAACTTTTCAGATGATTTTACTGGGTTGGCGTTGAGTCCTGTGCTGACTAGCTCCAAGGCTCCTTGGAGTGCAGAAGTAAACGAGAACCCATTTGGAGGGTTTAGTTATGTCGGGAGCGAGAGTTTATTGAACGGCCATGGGTTTATCGGGATGGAGACGAGTGTAGGTGTATAAAACAGTTTGGACAAGGGACTCGGGGTCATTTAAAAAGCTCAAGGGCGTTAATTATCGTGGGCTAAAGATAAACGGAGTATTAGTACATTAGCAAGGGCTAGGCGGCGTTGATACTGGAATTCAGGAGAGGTATAAAAGTTCAGTTGGCGCGCATAGCTGTTGGTTTCGAGGCATCGTTGGATTTGCTCTTGAACTGCATGTAGATGATTACGTTCTTTTAGACAGAAGCAATTGTTATAGACTGCCATTTCTTCTAGGCTTTAATACTTTGCCACGCCGAATGACCCAACTCCTGTTACATAGCTCGTTGTTAAAAGTGTCCCGATTTTGCTTGCACAATAAGTGGGGCAATATAGTTGACAAACGCTTTATTTCACGAGAATCATTCAAGTGGGCTAAAATGGTGCCAGGTAATACTTAAATAGGGTATATTCTTCTAACAGGTGAGTTGCCTCGTTTATATATATATGCAAAGGTACAAGTACAATACGCAACAGGAGACTTTCCAGGCCAAATCGGCATCTCGAACCATCCCCAAAATGCCATGACATGGTACTGTACAACGAACCAAAATGTATATCCAGAAGTCCCAGTATCATCAAGATTCCCAGGGTAGTGTTCTTTTGTGAGACGAGCGCGACTGCGTGAATTAGTATGTGGGGTTCTTGTTGACTGTAACAAGACACGAGGAGAAAGGATAATATCTTACCACGGCTACTTTGGTCTCGCGCGCTTCCCTAGCCATAGCGTTAGTCTTGTGGCTGCTTGTATTGCAGTGCTGTACGACATGAACAAAGGCACTATTGGCATTGACCTCATTTAGGATCGTGTAAGAGAAGTTGTCGCAGTCTTTGCATACAATGGTATATGCTTCAGACTCCGCTTTAAGGTCGAACTTATATTTAGGATACATCCTTCGCAGTTTCGTCAGAGTGGTGTCGATCTTCTGTCTTGATACAAGGTGCTGGTGGTACGACCCTGAAAATGTGGTCCAGGCGCTGTCATATGCTGATTCCTTATTCGCTGTATCCAAAGTCGACTCTGCGCGTTTACGCTTTAAGGAAGCGGATTCGGCTTTGGCAGGTGTAGGAATGAAGTTCGTCCTCGATATGTTCTGGTCCAGAGGACGGAGTGGCTAGATGTGTTAGCCATTGTCTTCTAAGTATTGACGAACGGATTGCTTACTCGGGCCACTGTCTGCTGCATTCGATCCTCCGCTCGTCTCTGTGGTTCCTTGTCTCGTCAGATTTGCTTAGAGGATCATATATGATCACAACTTACTGATAACACAGCTCTTCTCTTATGGTCAGAGGTTTTTAGATGCTCTTCTGCGACAGATCGTGCTAGTATTATAGAGTTTCCCCTCATAGTATAGATCCAAGTTGGAAAAATCATGCAAAAGATTTGATGCTCCAAAAGATCCATAGTGGTCCTGGCTCCGGACCTATTAGTGGTCTTGGATCCGAACTTAGCATTAGGATTCCGAAGCTTCAACGAGGTCAACGTCGTGCTCAATGCCTCTTCTGATCTTATCCTCGTTTCGAAATTAGATGTGTGGTGAAAAGACCTCAAGTGGGCGTCAATTGACAGGTTCAGGTTGGAAAGAGCAGCTGCGTCGCCCACGAGATTTGTGTGAAAAGGACAATCCTGTCATTTCACCATTGGGTGATCGCCGTTCATTTCTATCTTTAAGGCCAAGTCTGTGTTGCGAGAACGCAAAGGCTGTAGCATATCTTCCACCTCTTTCACAGTCGGTGGTTCTGACTCTGCATCCTAATAACATCAGTACGTTTCAATAAGTAAGGATGTAATAATCACTCACGGACATCAACCAGTCTTCGTCTATGTCACTAGGAAGTATGTTTGTCTCCCAATACTCCTCCATTTTCTTTGTCATGTCCCACACAAAGGGTCTCACCTCGTGGGATAAGACATGCCCGGTATCCACTATAGTCCAGAAGACCAACAAATCTCCATAGTCTCGGTTAGCCAGTTCGCGCAGCTGGGTGTTATCTGACACTTTTCGGTCTCCGCAGATCAAAATTGCCCTCGAGTCCGTTCTTTTGGCGTGAGCGTTTGAGATTTGACCGATTGTATTTTTCTGCGGGCAGGTTGCATTAGGTAGGGAGTGATATCGAAAGGGAGGAGACCGGAACATACACCTCGAGCTTTCAGCCATAAGAAGTCTTTCCATTGGCAGTGCGTGGCGTCTTATGCGGCAGGATGGCAATATAGAAATCGTGGGGTTTATTGGGGAATATGGGTAGGTTCTTCGACGCCGTTTTATACAAAATCCTATTATCTGATTAGCAGGGTAACCATTAGGCCAATAGAGGGAGAAAAGCCATGGTGGTTGTCAGTTGTCATAACCCCAATCATCCATCAAATGGACAACAAAGAGAGCCATAATGCAAGCTTTGATCGTCGCCCAATTGAAGTCCTCTCCTATGTTTTTGGTGGGATGATAATCAGTCAACGCAGTACTAACCTCTGCCAGTCCTCCAGCCTGTGCAAACTCCTCTGTGGGTATTCCGAGCTTCTTGTATCACACATAGAAATATAAATATCTGAGCTGATCAACTTGGAGTCCGAGATTATCTTCCAACCCCGCGTTATTGATAAATCCACCCCTTGATATTCGCCCCTTGACTGGCGAACTCACGTGCTCCGTCAACTCGTCATGACTTTTGTCTTCTCCTTCATATTGATTCCTTTTTACTTGATATCGACACGCTATCAAAAATCATGGGCGGCGGTACAATGGTAAACCTCCCACTCGTCCTCTTACCAACGCAATAGCTGATCTTTCCAGGCGTCAGCAGCGAGGAACCATTCGGGCACCGTAGACATCCTCATCCTGGGCGCTGGCTGGACTTCAACCTTCCTGATTCCCCTGTTAGATCAGCAGAAGATTTCATATGCAGCGACTACAACTACTGGTCGAGATGGAACGTACAAGTTCAGGTTTGACATTGTTGAACACGAAGACAACCCCGAACAATATGCTGCTCTTCCAGACGCGAAGACGATCCTCGTCACTTTTCCGTTGAAGGGAAAAGGCCAGAGCACGCATCTTATCACATCTTACATCCAAAACCATGGTTCCCAGAAGAGTGACCCCAACTTCATTCAATTGGGTAGCACTGGAATTTTCTCCATCGAAAACCAGGATACTTGGGTCACGAGACACTCAAAGTACGACAAATCCAATCCCCGAGCCATTGCTGAGGATGAACTTCTTTCGCGCGGTGGCTGTGTACTGAATCTCTCCGGGCTATGGGGAGGAGCCAGGCAGCCGAAGAACTGGATCGATCGCGTGGCATCGACCAAAGAACAGCTGAAGGGGAAGAATTCATTGCACATGATACATGGAGAGGATGTGGCTAGGGGGATTATCGCGGTTCATCAAGAGTTCAGTGCAGCCCAAAGTGAACGATTCGTAAATTACGGTTATCCCTATACTCCCCGAATACGTACTGACAAACACAGATACTAACTGATCTCATTGTCTACGACTGGTGGACTGTGATCCTTGGATTCTCAGGGGAATTGGATGCCGAAAACGCAAACTCCGAGAGGGAAAAATCTCAGATCAAGTGGATAGGAGAGTTGATGGAGGAGCAAAATATCAGGGCCTTGCCAAGATCAATGGAGCAGTTGGGGAGATGTTATGATTGCCGGGAGTTCTGGACTACATTCGGTATCATGCCTGTGAGATCAAGAATCTAGCATCGGAAGGGTTCTCGAACCTTAGCCTGTAAGTAGGAATCAGGTCCTCTATTCCACAAGAGAAACTATAGGTAGCATCGAGCATTGCTTTGATTTTGTCAGCTTGTTTTCGAAGCTCTTTCAACCACTGGCCATGACGAATCGAGATCCATGTTATTTATGGCCCTTACTTTGTCAGATTTTCCCAAATCACTTTATAAGCAGTTTCTATTTGGAAAATAATCAGCTTTCCAATCAAATCCGAAGTCAGTAGCTCGCCTCATGGAAGCTACTGTCTGGTAGTATTGGCTGGTCGTCGAACGCTACATCTTTTAGGCATGTGTGCAATCTCAGTCTGCTACTACGACATGCTCGATATGCTCAGTCATTCCGAAAGCAACCAAAAAAGATATATTCCCCGAAGTAAGAATCTTTTTAGACGCCTTCTATACACATCACTAACACTAACATTCGCATCACTAAATGCGAAAAATGGTCTATTCAACACCCTTTGAGCCGTATAAACAACCCCCTGGTATATCTCCTCTCCTCTTCAATCCTTTTATGGGTCTCAATGTCAATGCTCCAAAAAAAACGGCCTGAATTTATGGAAATGTACTTGATGCCGATGCGACAAAGTTGGAGAATGTTTAGAGCAACTTTGACCACCGCTTATTCAATCGTCCACTGCCATCTTTCTCTGTCGTGATCATGGATAGTATCCTCTAGTTTCACCGACAACCTCATCTGTCTGGAATCAATGCCACCATTTTTCTGCTGCGGGTGCCATCCACGTGTTTCTTTTGGGTCTTGAGGTGTGTATGGCTTGAGATACACCATGTTCTGTTTCTCTATGTAGCTCTTTCATCAATGATTAAGGAGGCTGCATAGTAAAAACAGTTTCTATGACGATTAGGTATTTTGGGGATTATGCGGCGGTGAAGGAGCACATCAAAAGATGCATGTCTTAAGATTTCATGTGTAGATCACGGCGAGATGCATTATATATGCCAATAATGGATTTTGAGGTAAGTGGAGTAGATGATTATACCGTACTCTATCTCAACTTCAAGTGTTTAAATTTCCTGCTTACTTCGCTTATACCTCTAATGCCAAGGTGCTTATTTTTCCAAGTCTAATACTCCCCACTATTCTCGTATTTACTCCATATTTCCTTGCTCGAATTCAACTGAAGACAGTGCGTTTGATCTACGCTAGGTACTGCCGAGTGTTAGGGTTAAAAATAGCGATTATCTTGTCCCTATTCATCGACTGCACTTCAGCTGCCTGGACTAATTAAATGCCTTAGTGTATAAGCGAAATAAATCCTCGTATAAAAGAATCTTCTGTGTTGAGATTCCACGGTATTATAAACAGCTCGGCTTCATTGTTTTGGTTACGACAGGATGTCTCAAATCTCTTTATTATAGGAAAGAGCGTTTAACCTCTACTTTCCATTCTGCGTATATAATTCCTTGCCTTTTGACGTCATATACTACTTCTTTTCCGCCACAGTCTTATTCTCTCTTAAACCTAGAACCTTTACACTCTTTGTAATTTCGTTTCGGATTCATAATGCTCTTCGCTAAGAACTGTCTGTTGGCCACTTCCGCCTTGGCCGCCGCTGTGACTGCGGACTGGACAACGGACACTTACGATGCGATAATCGTTGGATCTGGACCAGCTGGAATTATCGGTAGGATCTCCTGATGTCATATATAAATGTAGCCTAATGAGAATGTAGTCGCAACCAGAATGGCCGAAGCTGGCCTGCAAACGTTATTGCTTGAGGCAGGCGGGCCTTCATACGGAATAACCGGCGGTGACTTGGACGCGCGAAGACCTGTACGGTATTGAACCCCTTTTCTCAACCTCGTCTAATGAATATTTAGTCATGGCTCAGCGGCACGAATCTCTCCCGAGTTGATGTTCCCGGCCTTTACAAATCAATCTACACTACCAATGATGGGTTGACCTGCAGCTTGAACAGCTACGGAGGATGCACCATAGGTGGAAGCTCTGCGATCAATGCTGGTCTGTTCTTCAAGCCGCCGACGAGTGATTGGGATCTTTATTTTCCTGAAGGGTGGCACTCTGCAGATGTGGAGACTGCCAACCAACGATTGACCGCGCAACAGCCTTCCACTGATAACACTTCGCGCGACCAAGTAAGATACCTCCAAACTGGCTACGATGCCGCTAGAAAATGGATTGTGGATGGTCTTGGCTTCACGGACGTGGATCTCAACGCTCAAGCAGACGAGAAGACGGAAGTGTTTGGACATCCAGTCTTCGACTACGCCGATGGCCAGCGTGGTGGACCGGTAGTCTCCTATCTCCAGTCAGCTCTGGAAAAGCCAAACTTCCAGATCCAAACTAACGTCACAGTCTTGCGGGTAGAAAGAAATCTCACTCAAGCAACTGGAGTATATGCCAATATTACCGGAGTGGAAAAAGTCATCTCTCTTAATCCCAATGGGCGCATCATTCTCAGCAGTGGTGCGATCCAAAGTCCCAAACTACTAATGATGTCTGGTATTGGAGATCCAGCAGTCTTATCCAAGATTCAAGCAGCTGGGAAAATGAGCACAGCTCTTCAATCAAGTGACTGGATCAATTCAACAAGCATTGGAGCCGGGCTTTTCGATAACCCAAACACCTTTATCGAACTTGAGGGTCCGGCCATCCAATCGTACGTTTACTCTTACGATTCTCCCATCGACGAAGATGCACAAGCCTACGTCCAAAACCGTAACGGCCCCTACACATTCGCATCCGAGACGGCTGTATTCTTCGACACTTTCACGCGTGACGATGGCAGCAATGTGACCTTCCAAGGTACGATTGACTCATCTGGATACCAAGACTACATGTCCAACACCACCATTACGCTGAATATCTACGGGACGGCGGGTTTGAAGTCCAAGGGCAACGTAGTGCTAAACGAGCAAGCGGATTTCGCGCCCGGTGCCGACGGAAATGTCTACTACTCGGACGCAACAGACGCCGAGAACATTGCGGGTTTCATCTACAAGATCTTCCAAAAGCTCCCTGACTCCGGGCTCACATCCCTCAACATCCCGCAGGACGCTACCAAAGAAGATATCCAAACGTACATCACGACCTATTCGGCATACGCACTCGGTAGCGTCAACCACTGGTCCAGCAGTTGCAGGATCGGAGAGTGTGTAGATGCACAGACGAGAGTGATTGGGATGGATAATTTGCACGTGGTTGATGGCAGTATTGTGGCTCCGCTTTCCGTTAATCCGCAGTATGGGATTATGGTTGCGGCCGAGAAGGGCAGTGAGTTGATTTTGGCGCTTTATGGGAAGAGTCTTGATGGGACGAATTTGTGAAAAAGTAATACCCTAGGAGAAGACAGTTTAACCATCCTGCCTTTCATTATACAAATGGAATACATACCTGACATACCACTCGACTTCATTACCTATATACAGGTATACTTACAATATCTGTGTCAAATCCCAACGTCAGATTGATTCTATTTCCTACTTAGTGGAATCCCCCTTGCAGGCGAGGAATGAATGTACTCGTGCTCATTATTAGAAAGAAAGATCATCCAGCTAGATGCTCCAGATGCATAGTATCAATATATAATCTCATAATATCTGATGGCCCTCATCTGATTCATGATCGCAGTGTCTAGGGCCGGGCCTTGCGGGTAATAGTCCGTGTGGCGGCTCGGGTTCGTGAAGTGGCCGTGAAAAGCTCGAAAGACACGTGACTAACGTCATTTGCCGTTTTCACTGGCGCCGACACGAGAAGTTCGTATCGCGACTTGATATGTTGTTCATGATCATGCTACGTACCCAATATACATACCACCACCACTATGCACATTCGTTTTTATTCTTTTCTGTTGCAACAACATAGCAATGAACCGCTGCGACCAGACTGCACCCTTCACCTTCCGTAGTGAGCTGACCCACCGGCGTGAGCAATCAATCATCTTTTGTCTGCACCGGATAAACCGGTCACAACCGTCCGAACATCTGTCTGTACCATGGATCGTCCCAACGACGAGAACTCCCCGCCAAAGAAATTAGCCCATACCACCAAAAGTGAGGGTCCTTCAGACCCAACCAGCAACCCATTGAAATTGAAATCGCGGCGTGAATTAACTATCAACACATCGCCAGAATCCGAGTCGACTTCCGGGGCTTATCGTACGCCGGGAGATAACTTGGCCATTAACCTCCCACAAATTGGGGATTCAATATCAATTGATACGCTACATGCTGCGCCCTTGTCGCAGCACCGGAAGATTCAGAATCATGAATCGACGGACGAGATAGCAGATCGGGGTTCCGACGCCTCTCGGGAGAGTGACGCCGAGGATCAGGCGATTGTTGAAGATGATCCAAAGAATCCCATTTCTCAAACCCACCGGTTCAGAGCTTTGAATTTGCCTCTTAAATGGAGCAATGCGGGAATTCAACGGAAGACCAGTTTTTGGTACCAGAAGTATATCATTCAAGGGATCCTTCGACGGAAGGAAACGCAACCCACCAAGGACGGACGCCGCATCGAGCTTGACGTTTCGAGGCACGGCCCATTAATTGATGAAAGAACGGGACAGCCATATATCGACAATAGTATCCGTTCGAGCCGTTATACTATTTGGAACTTCCTTCCCTCCCAAATCTGGTTTCAATTCTCCAAGGCTGCCAACTTCTTCTTTCTTGTTATTGGCATTCTTCAACTGGTGCCTGGGCTTAGTACGACCGGATCATTTACCACTATTCTCCCTCTGCTATTCTTTCTATTTTTCATCATAATTAGAGAAGGATATGATGACGTTCGCCGCTATCAACTCGACAAAGTGGACAATGGGCAAGCAGCACGTGTTTTAAACGGATCTTCGTCTAGGATTTCAATTCTACCTATCCGAATACTCAACCCCGGTATAGATTACTGGAATCGATTAAGACAAAAGGCACTCATTCAGGTCGGAAAGGGTGCGTCCGAAACAACCTCTATTGAGCTTAGCAGTGAGGAATATGTTGATGATGTCAACTCTGGGGACTCGCTTGGTCCTGGCCAAGCTTCATGGTCCACTATACAATGGAAGGATCTCAAAGTAGGGGATGTTGTCGATTTGAAGCGTAACGACCCGATACCGGCCGACATTGTCCTCCTTTACACGGACGGTCGAGATAACATTGCATACATCGAGACTATGTCACTGGATGGCGAGACTAATCTCAAAATCAGAAGGCCACCGAACCTCCTTTCCTGCGAAACTTTGGCGGCTATTTCTCAATGCCGTGCAACTTTCGTAGTAGAAGACCCCAATGCTGATCTTTACCAATTCCACGGCAAAGTCACGGTCAATGGACAGACGTCCCCAGTCACGCAGGATAACATTGTGTATCGCGGGAGCACTTTGAGGAACACCAATAGAGCTTTTGGAATGGTCCTCAATACGGGTGAAGAATGCAAGATCCGCATGAATGCTAACAAGAACCCGAAGCCAAAAGCACCCGCAGTCCAAGCTATAACTAATCAGGTGGTGATTCTTCTCGTCGTATTTGTGGTCTTGCTGGCGACGGGCTGTACTGCAGGGTACGAGATATGGACAAAAATATTTGAGAGGAAAGCGTGGTACTTGAAGCACGCACATCTTGGTCCTGCAGAGATTTTCATCGCATTCGCCATCGAATTCAATAATCTCATCCCTCTAGCCCTTTATGTCAGTCTGGAGCTGGTCAAACTTGCTCAATTCTTACTCCTGCACGACGTCGAGATGTATGATGAAGCTTCAGACACGCCAATGGTATCTAATACACAAAACATTTACGAGAACCTCGGGCAGGTCAGCTATCTATTTTCCGATAAGACCGGGACTTTGACGGAGAATGTTATGCGGTTCCGGAAGATCAGCGTCGCGGGGATGGCTCTGGTGCATGACTTTGAATCGGAAGTGTCGAAGAAAGAGAAAGACTTGCAATTGCCCAAAAGATCTAGTTTCCATGACCCCACAACGCCAACGATTGTGGAGCACGAAGCATTAGATAACCCTCGGGTGTCTAGAGATGGATTTCCATTCCCTGTTGGCAGAAAATCTTTGACTGTCCCAAGATTGGAGCGGTCTATGTCGCGACGTAGCCTGAATCGGGATACGTCCTCCAAAGAGCTTTTGAGAAGCCTTTGGAAGCACCCTGATGCTAAGCTCTCAGAGAAGGTACGATTTTTCTTGCTATCTCTCGCACTTTGCCATACCTGCTTTCCAGAAGATCGGAAGGATGGAAAGACTGGATTTCAGGCTGCTTCTCCTGATGAACTCGCTTTGGTCGAGGCAGCTGTGGAACTGGGCTATATTGTTACTGACAGGACGACACGTTTGATCACGTTATCAATCGACTTGTTTGATTCAAAATCTCCAGCGCAAGAAGTCTATGAAGTTCTCGACATAATAGAGTTTAGCAGCAAAAGAAAACGTATGTCCATTATCGTCAAATTTCCCGATGGAAGAATATGTTTATTCTGCAAGGGCGCAGACTCTGTTATTCAGCCAAGGCTTCGACTCTCTGCCCTAGCACTACAAAAGGCATCCGAGGTCAGACAGCGACAGGACCAACGCAAAAGTTTTGAGGTTGAAGAAGCGATCATGCGGAAGAGTCACGATGAACAGTCTCGGAAGAGTCTCCAGAGGTCAAGCTTTCAGCTGGATAGACCTAGTATGGAGATGAGAAGAATAATATCCGGGCGGAACAGCGTAACAATTGATCAATACCCTCCAAGCCCACAATCCTTATTCCAGCGAAACGATTACGAAGGGCAAAGCCCGAGGAAGTCCTCACAACTCGACAGGCGATTTCTTTCCTTGCCTCTTTCGGAGCCCAGCACCCCACGCATTGTGACCGATCAGTCGATGGATGACGCATCCATTTTCGAACGTTGCCTCGAGCAAATTGACGAATTTGCATCTGAGGGACTACGAACCCTTATGTTCGGGTACCGATTCATCGCGCAGGATGAATACCAAGGCTGGTCAAAACTATACCACGACGCTACAACCAGTCTTGTCAACCGACAGGAAATGATTGAATCCGCTGCCGAGATAATCGAGAAGGAGCTTGATCTCGCTGGTGCTACGGGCATCGAAGATAAACTCCAAGACGGCGTTCCCGAAACCATCGAGAAGTTACAGCGAGCAAATATCAAAATCTGGATGCTTACCGGCGATAAACGCGAGACTGCTATTAACATTGCACACTCTGCCAAACTCTGCAAAAGCTATTCCCGTGTTCTCATTCTCGACCACAAGCAGGGGTCCCTCAAAACGCAGATCGATTCGGCGCTTTTTACCATCATGGAAGGCAGGATCGCTCATTCTGTTGTTGTAATTGACGGTCAAACGTTAATGGGAGTTGAGAATGACGATGTGTTAAGTGCACATTTCTACAACCTCCTGCTTCGTGCTGACTCGACAATTTGCTGCCGCGCGTCCCCGGCACAGAAAGCCAGCATGGTCAAAAACATTCGGCATAAGGTGCCTGGTTCCATCACTCTGGCCATTGGCGATGGCGGGAACGACATAGCGATGATCCAAGAAGCCGATGTTGGCGTGGGAATCAGCGGGAAAGAAGGTCTACAAGCCGCCAGAGTAGCCGACTACTCTATCGCCCAGTTCAGGTTTCTCCAACGCCTGCTTCTTGTCCACGGTCATTGGAATTACAATCGTATTGCCCAATACGCACTTGCTACGTTTTGGAAAGAAATGCTATTCTACTGCATTCAGCTCCTATACCAAAGATGGAACGGATACACCGGGACATCGCTTTACGAAAATTGGTCGCTCACCGTGTGGAATACCCTTTTTACTTCATTATGTGTTATGATTCCCGGCATCTTCGAACAGGATCTCTCGGCTACAACTCTCCTTGCAGTCCCAGAGATCTACAGCTACGGCCAGAACTGCAAGGGCTTCAACCTCAAAAAATGCGGGTTATGGATGCTCAAAGCGGCCGTGGAAGCTGTTGTCGTTTATTTCATGATCTATTGCTTATACGGCCGGATCATCTTCACCACAGACCAAGGACTGTTCGCTATCGGCGACTTGGCGTTCACAGTCTGCGTCATCTATATCAATGTAAAACTATTGTTCGTCTCCCCCCACCAACCCTCACCTTCACAAATCACAATTAAGATTAGATTATATTCCTAACTCTCTCTAACTCACACACAGGGTTCTAGACACCTACTACAAAACCTGGATCCCCATCCTCAGTGTAACCATCACCCTCTTAGGCTGGGGCATCTGGAACGTCTTCCTTTCCCTCGCATACGCCAACAACCCCGGCTCCTACGCCGTGTACAGCGCCTTTGTGCATCATTTCGGCTCGAACCTCGCTTGGTGGGCTACGCTGTTCGTAGTACTCGGTGTGTTGTTTGTGTGCGACGTTTTGGTCTCGACGCTGAAGAAACGCTTTTGGCCCAATGTGGTGGATG